AGTAGGCATGTTTCATATCATTAAATATTCTTCAAAAACATGATTTTTAATAGTGGATTTATATTCTCTTATATTAATTAAAATTTTAGATTATTTATAATATTTTTGTTATTGTAGAGAGATATTTGTCACACTGTGGCTTATTTCCTTAAAATAGACTTTGGAAATGGTATTACCAGAGCAAAAAGTAAATATATGAAGGTTGATACATATTGCCAATTTGATCTTTAGAAATGTTCTACCAATTTCCATTTGCACTAAAGTCTATGAATATCCCCATTTTCCCACACCGGGCAGATACTCATGACATCATTCTCATTCACTTTTGATAGCCCTAAAAGCTAAAGATAACAATCCCTTGTTTTCACTTTTATTTTTTTATTAGTGAATTAAATATTTTGCAATAATTTATCAGCACTATATATTTTCTCTTCTCTAAATTCTCTATTCAGGTCCTTTGCCAATTTTGCTATTGAAATATTGCTGCTTTTCTTACTGTTGGATAAAAGATTTTTATATATTAGGGATATTAAAACCTTTTTAGTCACATTATGTCAAATACCTCTGTGAAATTTGTCTGTAAATTTTTTAGTGATATTTTATCTAGAGATGAATTAAATTTTATGATAAACAAATTGATAATCTATTTTGTGTTCTTTTTGCCCCCTTTTTGTTCAAAAGTCTTTCCTTAACCTCCTAAATCAATAGAATACCTATATTTTCTTCTGTTCCCCACCCCCCTCCCAATATTTTTCTTTTTAAAATTGAGGTATAATTTATGTTCTACTTTAATGGTTTATTTCTTTCATTTTTCATATTTATTAATAGCTGGAAATAATTTTGTTAAATAATGCATAATGAGACCCATATTGAATATTTAACACTGACCCATGCATCTTACCTGTCACCTGGTGTGGGTAGGAGATTGACATCCTCCTCTGAGACAGGAGGATCATCGAAAGAAATGCATCTGAAAAGAGGGTGGGAATCTGATCAATTGCAAGAGTCTCCTTAGAGACAAATTGACAAATAAGGCCCAAATTCCAGTCCAAGTGTGGCTTCAAGAATTTGAAGCCTAACCTGGTCGGCATGGCTCAGTGGTTGAGAGTCGACCTATGAACCAGGAGGTCATGGTTCAATTCCCCGTCAGGGCACACGCCTGGATTGCGAGCTTGATCCCCAGTGTGGGGCATACAGGAGGCAGTTGATCAATGATTCTCTCTCATTGTTGATGTTTCTATCTCTCTCTCCCTCTCCCTTCCTCTCTGAAATCAATAAAAATATCTTTTTTTAGAAAAAGAATTTGAAGCCTAGGAAATTTTAGGAGGACAGAACCCCATACATCCATTTTAGCATCCTTAAATTAATCTGGTAAATATTTATTGAGTCCCTGCTCTATACTGTGCACAATACAGCAGCTTTGATTTGAGGACTTTTTTTTTCTGGCATAAACTGTTTGCAAAGTTACCAAAAACAACAAGCTGATTATATGAAAATTACCATTTTTATAGGTGAAAACAGTTGAATGGGGAGTTTAGTTTTCGAAGAGTAGATTTGTAACCCTTCTCTTTGTCAATAATTAGCTAGTAGGCCAACTTCCTATTCAGACCATATCCTGTTAAAGGTAATAAAACTTTATCATATGTGCATAACAGAATGTTTGTCTTTCTGTTTCACTTTGTTGGGGGAAGAGGGGGTCTGTAGGAGTGCATAAAACTTATCCAAAATTATTTCCAATAATTGATAAGCAATGTGTAAAGAAGTGGGTGAAGACAGTGATTTTCTGGGCCTGGTAGCTTTAGGAACCAAAGCTTTGTTACAATATATATGGTTGACCAGAACAACCCAAGATGGCTCTCTCTCTTCCCCTCTACTGGTCCCAGGGATAGCACGGTATCATTTGTGTTGTGCCTGGTAATGTTAAACCTTGATGACAGCTGAAACAAGAACCATAACCCTATCAATCTGGATGGTATTACATGGATATGTACATGTATAAAAAATTCATTAGCCATTCTTTAGCTAATGAAAATGCATTCATGAGCCAAAAATTAATTCATTAGCTTCAGATTTGGGCACTTTAAGTATATTTAAAGAATAAAGTTCTGCCCTAGCCAATTTGGCTCAGTGGATAGAGCGTCAGCCTGAGGACTGAAGGGTCCAGGGTTTAATTGCGGTCAAAGAATGAAGGTACCTTGGGATCAAGCTTCCAATGTACCTCAGTTGCAGGATCGATCCCTAGCCCTAGTTGGCCAGTGCAGGGAGGCAACCAATCTATTTGTTTGCCTCACACAGATGTTTCTCTCTCTCTACCCCCTTCCCTTCTCCCTTAACACTTTTTCTAAAAATCCATGGGAAAATATCCTCAGGTGAGGATTAACAAAAAATAAAAATAAATGAATTTCTCCAGACACCACCATCTATTCTGAGGAGAGTGTTTTAAAAACAAAACAAAATTTAATTGAGGACATTGGATACCTAACTGGCCATGAATTGGGCAGCATCTCATGTAGCAACTGGAAGGGCGCTCCAAGGAGTTGTATAAAATGGAAGGTTTTTACAGGAAGAAGAGTGGGAGGAGAGAGCTATTAACAAAAGAAAAGAAAGGATTATTTGGGGCCTGGATATCTTTTTGGGGGTAAAGGGGTAAGAGAACAGGAAGGGTTTTTGTTATGCAGGTTGCTTCTTCTTTCTATTTGGGGGGAAGAAAATGGAGACTATATACTTTACTTACATTTGGCTTTTAAAATAATATTTTAAATTTTTATAATAGGAGGAAATCTAAATGTACTGTGTTCTTCTGGATGGGGGCCTGGAACAGAAGACGGCATCAGGGAAAATTAATGAAATCTGAATAAAGTATGGAGTTTAGTGAATAACTATGTCATTGTGGGTTCATTGGTTGTGACAATGCGCCATAGTGATGAAAGAGGTTAACAATAGGGAAACTAGGTGTGGGGTACATGGGACCTCTCTGTATTATTTTTGCAACTTTTCTGTAAACCTAAAACTATTCTAAAATTTAAAGGTTCATTTATATTTTTAAAAATTGGAGGAAAGAACGTTTATTTCAATCTCAGACAAATCACAATTTTGGCATAAGTCTAGTGTACAGGCCAAATGACCATACTAAGCATCAACTGCTATCAGATGTCAGCCTAATCCCAGGTTCTGTTCTTTTCAGTGACAGGAAGAAAAAATCATGAAAGTTGAAACAGTGTGTCAAAATATGTAAAATCACAAAACATGAAATGGATTAGACAGGAAAGGTTTTTTTAAAAATATTTTTTAAAATATACTTTTATTGATTTCAAAGGGGAAAGGAGAGGGAGAAAGAGAAACATCAATGATGAGAGAATCATTGATTGGCTGCCTCTTGCACGCCCCACACTGGGGTTCGATCCCACAACCTGGGCATGTGCCTTGACCAGGAATCAAACTATGATCTCCTGGTTCATAGGTCGACGTTCAACCACTGAGCCATGCCGGCTGGCCGGGCAGGCAAGTTTAGATAAGCTGTTGTGGAAAATGAGAAGCCTTCATTTAACTTCTTGAGTGAGAAACTGATGTAGTGAGAGCAACAATTTAGAGATTAATTCTATAAGCAGTTTGCAAAATGGATTGACGTTGGGGAGAAACTGAGGCAGGGGATCAGCAAAAAGTCAATAACCGACATGTGAAACAAAAGTCTCAATTCTAAAACCCTAAACTGAAACTTACCGCAAAGGTTTCAAGCCATGTTATTCTTCGTGCCTGGTTTAGGCATCTGGGGGCAAGCAAGGCCTATTGTGGAGATGGGCGTGTCAGGCGATCTTGGCCCAACTCCACTCGGTATTTGAATCATAGAACCACTTTAGGTGCCCTGGTTCCAAGGCCCAGCTCTCTGGGGTCTTGTCAGGACTGTTTCTTGTCACTTGTGCTTGTCCTGCAGCGGCCCTGTGCTTGTTTGATAGTCAAACTTGGGGGAAAAAAGGCTGCTTCTTTACTTTTAACCCATCCTAATGAGTTTTTAAAAACTTATTTGGAAATGATTTCAAACTTACAAAAAAGCTGCAAGAATAAGAATACTACACAGAACAGCCACTTGTTACACCTAATGGTAAACATTTCTTTCTCTCTCTCTTTCTGTATATATATGACTGTGTGTATATACTGTATATGACACATATATGACTATATATGAATGTATGTAGATCTAATATTTTTGAACTATTTGAGGATAATTGGTAGAGCATGGTCCTTTAGTACTAACGACATCATTGTGTAGTCCTTAAAAATTTTTAAGGACTAAAAATCTTTTTATAAACATCAGTGCATTTACTCAGTCACTGTTTCTTGAATTGAACTGATCTATGGAAATACCCATTATTCTGGCCACACTCCTAACTGAGTCATAGGAGTGAAAAATCCAAAGTTTCATTTGAATTGCAGGTTTGGGTCTTTGAAAGTATACCATAGAACCAGGTAGTTCATATTAGTTTTGAACTTTATTCATTATGTGTTTGACTCAGTGTTCAGCTATTCTAAAAAACATCTTTGTCAAAGAATAATCATATACCAAATAATGGCAAACACTAATCTAGCATTCATAACTATGTGTCAGGCAGTGTTCTAAGCACTTTATATTAATTCATGCACTTAATCCTCACAAAAACCATAGAGGAATATACCACGATTACCTTCATTTTAAACATGGGGAAATGCAGGCACAGAAGGTAACTATCTTGCCCACAAATAAATAGCTGATAAAGGGGTAAAATCAGGATTTGAACCTATGCTCTCAGATTCTCTCTCTCTCTCTCTCTCTCTCTCTCTCTCTCTCTCTCTCGTGTGTGTGTGTGTGTGTGTGTGTGTGTGTGTGTGTGTGTGTAGCCTTCTTACATTTCACAGTCTCTTCTCTAAAGATGATCCCATGCTATTTTTTGTTATCGATTGCTTCTCATTGTGTCGTGTTCCCTTAGGAGAGAAGCATTCATTTCCTCGATGTGTTTATTTTCCAGCTGAAGAAAAGGTGACTGGTCCCATGAGCCGGGAAGAATGAACTCAGAGGAGGCTGTTTATACAAGGTTCTCCCACTCACCAGCTGTTGGGAGTATGTGGATGAAGGGCAGGATCTTATTACTTCAGTGGAAGCAATGGAAGCCGGCGACCATGTTCCCAAGCCACAAACAGCCAAGTGGATTTGGCACAGTGGGGCTGCCTCATAAATAATTAATCAGAAGCCTTTGATACAAATCTGTCTTGCAGTAGCCTTCAAATTCAGTGTTGCCTCCTTCTCTAGCCTTGGGTATATTAAAGAGATCCCCTCTGCGTCTCACTCTAGTGCCAGTACTGGCCTGAAGGCTGGATCCACAGGGGAATTCTCTTCATTCAGTCTGTGCCTCCCCTGTTTGCATGCCATTTATAGGGCCAATGTGGGTTAGTAACTATTTATTGAGCGCCTGTTCCGTGCCAATTATTAGGCTGAGTGCTTTACAAACATCTAATCCTTCCAAAAGCTCTGTAAAGCTGCACCTACTGCCTCCATTTTGCCCCCGAGCAAATGGAGGCTCAGAGAGGTTGTGTGCTATGTCTAAGATCACACAGTTGGCAGTGTCAGGGCTCAAATCTAGGTCGAAATTCAAAGCCCCTCCACTTTAACACGCTGCTTGGCCCATCACTGTTCCAGAGACAATGAGCCCATCATATTATCACTGGTCTTCCTCTCATAAGTGGAGGTGAGGACAGCGGTATAGGGGAAGTGTCTGAGAGAGAGGATTGGATTAAGGAGGCTTTAGAGCAGCGGTTCTCAACCTGTGGGTCTTGACCCCTTTGGGGGTCGAACGACCCTTTCACAGGGGTCGCCTAAGACCATCGGAAAACACATATATAATTACGTATTGTTTTTGTGATTAATCACTATGCTTTAATTATGTTCAATTTGTAACAATGAAATTGGGGGTCACCACAACATGAGAAACTGTATTAAAGGGTTAGGAAGGTTGAGAACCACTGCTTTAGAGGCATCGAAGAATCACGGAATTATTTTCTGAGGAAAATAACACAATGTTCTTTTAGGTCAGAGATTGATTAACTATGACCTGTGAGTCAATTCCAGCCCCAAACGTAAATAATGTTTTATGGACACACAGCCACACCCAGTCTTGTATGTATTGTCTATGACTGCTTTTTCTCTGTGATGGCAGAGTTGCATAGTTGTGTCAGAGACCATATGGCCTGCAAAGCCTAAAAATACTGACTATATGGGCCTTTCTGGAAACAGTTAGCTGACCCTGTTTTACATGACTTAGGAAGGAAGCCAACAGTTTTCATTAAGATCAATGTATTATTTTTTTCCCCATTTGACTGAAAAACTACTTAAAGATTTATAATGCTAATATAATCACTGTATTCTAATGGTGGTGGGTGGTGGAGTGGGGTGTGAGGAAAGGGGGAATCTAACCAGGGAAGGTTAAGGGACCGGGAGTAGAAGGGAGAGGTCTGGACCTCTGTGTCCCCAGCCAACTCCTCACCCCAGGCTCATCCCACTCATTCTTTCTTTTCCTCCTGCCAAATCAAGTTTCTTAAAATAACTCTTTGCTCATAAACTTGTAAGTGCCTTCCCACTTACCACATGCTCAAATCCCAAACCCAACCTGGAATTTAGAGACCTTAACAATCTTGACTCCTACTCATCTCAATCTCCACCCCCACTTTATCCTTTTCTTTTTATCATAAAGTCATGCCAAATTTGAGTTTATATTTCAAAGCCGATGTGCTTGTTCTTGATTCTTTTTTATGTAAGCAGAAAAGTAAACATGTAATATTTGTAGGTGGTGTATGTGACCATAGGAAACCAGGCCAAGCTTTTGTGTATGATGCCATTTCACCTATGGTAAAAGTCATAGACAAAGGAAAAATGTATGAATGTATTACTTACTTTTCTGCCGCACACATGGTCCAATTGTATTTAGGAAAACAAATGCTAAGGTTTTATTTTTTAATTGTAATATCGTCAGCTATCTCCCACATTGCTATGTATTTTTCATAAAGATAATTTTTCGTGGTTGTGGAGTATTTCATCTTTCATATGTTCCAAAGTTTTCCTAATACTTCCCTGGCGTTTGGGCATTGAAGGTTGCTATTTCCATTCATTTCTTCTCCATTCCCTGGAGTTGTTCTCACTATTTCCCACCTTTGCTCAGGGTCCCATCTTCCCTTCTCATCTGCTGAAGTCCTACCCTTGTTGCCTAAGTCCTGTCACCACCTTCCCTCTGGGGAAAAGTTCAGATTGACCTTCAGAATGAGGGATGGATTTCAAGACACTTGCTCCCCTAGGAAGCGCTGACATAGCACCATCTGAACCTGACAGCAGTCATTGCAGTACCGAAGGGCTCGAAGACACCATTGTTTCCTGGTGCTGCACTCAGGAGAACGATTTACTTTAGAAAATAATAAAAATAACGGACACATGTCAGGTATTATTCCAAGCACTTTACATACATTGTCATTATCCTCATGACAACGCTTTCAAGTGGGTACCGTTAATACTTTCATTTTACAAATAAGAAAACAGGTACAGAGAGACCGCAGTGACACAACTGTAAGCGGTATTTGAATTCAGACAGTCTGGAATCAGAGCCTGGGTGCTTAGCGAGTGAAATAGAAGTGCAGTCAGTTCACTAGGGCCCTGTATCTCCCTAGTCTCAATCACCCAGTCTCAATCCAGCCCATACCATTTACAGAGAATGTGCAGAGGGAGAGGGGCTGCTGAGGAATGATCCCACTAGGAACGCTGAGCCTGCCCCTCTGTGTTGGAGCGGGGCTAGCAGCCAGCATCCTTGCACAATGAGGAGATCATCAGGGTGACAAATTTGCTTTGTCTTGGTCATTCTCTGACCCAGGGCATTTCCAGAGCCAAGGCAGGATGTGATGGGAAAAGCTGCGTCTTTCAGACCTTGCTCATCTCAGTGTCTCCAATGCCAGCATAAAGCAGGCCACCTTATATGGAGAATGTATTGTGACATGTAACACAACAATGGCTACAGTTTTTAGTGAACAGTCCTTCTCAGGCCCTCTCCCAGGAAGAATGGGGCCTCTTGCAATGGCTCATATGCCAGTGGGGTTGGGCAGAAGAGAGAGTTCATTCCAGAGTCGAGTACAATTACAAAGCTGAGTCAGAAAGGGAATGAATGGTTATTGGACTCTAGTTTGCAGAATGATAGAACCTCAAGGCTCAGAAAGATGTTAAAGATCCCCGTTGCCAGGTACCTTCCAGTGCCTGATTCCCCTAGGACAGCTCTGCCAAGCAGATGTCCAGCCCCTGCTTGGATACCTCCACCAATGGGGCCCTCACCACCAACCAAAATCCAGTTCTCTATGGCTCTGTTAGAGAGGGGAAATCTATCTTCCTGTAGCTTCCATCAATTGGGACTAATTCTACCTGTGGGACGCTAGAGAACAAGTCAGTTCCCTTTTCCGCACAGCAGCCCTGGAGAGATTGGGGGTAAATGACCACGTCCTCCCGGAGTGTTTCCTCTCCAGGCTACAGACTCACAGGTGCTTGAATTGTGCCTCTTCTCACATGGTTTCCAGACCCTATGTCAAGCCTGTGTGCACTGACTGCTTCCAACTTTGCTTAGAGTTCTCCAAGTATGGAGCTAGACCACCCCACAGAGCTCCAGCTCACATCAGAGCAAAGCCATCCTTTCCTGAATATGAGAACGTTAATATCTGTTGTGAGTTCCTAGGAACAGAAATTAGTTCTGAGTTCCAAGGGGTTCCAGGGCTTTTCAGGGAGTTTTTTAGTCAGAAGGGGGCAGGGGAAAAAGGAATTAGTTAGGCTTCTATGGTTGGGAAGAGAAAGTGGCTATATATTTTTGAATGCTGATTACATACCAGATACTGTGTTAAACACAAAACATGGATTATCTCGTTTAATCCACTCAGCACCTCTTGTAGGTGGTACTGTTATGACACCTATTAAACAGCTGAAGAAGCGGAGGCTTGGAGAAGCTCAGGGTTTTCCCAGTCTAGGGGGTGCATGCTGACTCAGGCCAGATATTAACAGGGAGCGACAGGTGCAGATTTGGGGCTTCAACAAAGAGCAGCACCAGGGCAGTGACTGTGCTTCAGGAAAGCCAGGTGTAAGAGTGCAAAGGGGGTCAGGGAGTGGGGTGAGCATAGGACTTCTAAGACCCTGAAGATGGGAAGGGAGAAAGCATGGCCGAGTGGCACAGAAGGATGGGTGTGCCGGGGAGTAATAATAACAGCTACCATGTGCTGAGTATGAAACCAGGCGTTTTGCATATGTAAACTCTTGTAAGCCTCACAGCAGCCCTAGCTGGGAATTACTATTATGGTGACAGATGAGGAAATTGAGGCTGATCAAAATTAAATGGCGCGCTGAAGGCTACACAGCTGGGAAACAGCAGTGTCAGGATTGGAATTCCGACCGCTGACTCAGGCTCATGGTCCTATACTGACTCCCAAAGGGGAAGACTGTTGGCAACATCTAAGGGAAGGAATTTCTTTCTCAAGAGATGGGGGAATCCCAGGGCAATGTTTGGGGAGTGAGGACAGGGAACCTGGTTCTGGATGAGATGGTTTTGCCAGACTCTCTACATCTGCAGTGCCAACCCTGAGGCTATCCTAACTCACCTCAGAATCCGACAGTGAAGAGGTGAAAGGTCATCTGTTTTTATGCCTCGTAGTTCCTTTTTGAAAAATTTAAACAATGTGCTTTCTCTTAGTTTAACAGTTCTCAAACCGGAGGACTTGTTAAAACAGATTGTTACCCCACTCCTAGAGTTTCTCATTTAGTCCGTCTGACGATGAAGCCTGAGGATTTGTACTTCGAACAGAGCTACCAGATGGTGCTGATGCAACTGGTTGTAGGATTACATTGGAGAACAATGACTTCGGTCTATTAGTAAAGCTACTTGTGAGATTTTTCTAAACTGACTTGGCCGTGAAAAGGTTAAGTACAGAAAAGCCAAAGGACATGCCCATAAGCCAGAAGCAGCGAGAGGGGGTTGGGGGTGCAGACTTGGTGACCAGCTAGGTGAGTGAGAGCCTGTATGGGCTGGGGGAGAGAAGGCACCGCCAGGAGAGACTAGCTATTCCTGGATGGAAATGAGGGGAAGCAGAAGGCCAGGGTGAGCTGGGCAGGGGAGCCAGACTGGCTACAGAGACAGAGATCTGGCAAGGGCAGAGGTCAAATGGGGTAAAGCTCTTGTCAGAAGCTGCAGGCTCTTGCCTGGGCAGGAGGAAAGAACGGGGGAGGGAGGACACAAGCAGCCAGGAGTGAGCTCCTGGGATTGTGGTCTGTGACAGAACCTGCGGATCACATTTCAGCTGCGACTCGCTGTCTCCAAAGCCTCTCTCTGCCCATCGGTCATAAAGTGCCCAGGACTTGCCCTCTGACAGTAGCGAGGTGACGTGCTTGCAGCTAGAGAACTGAAGACAGCACTAAATGCTGTTTCTTCCCCTTCGTGGTGGTCAGAGGGGCAGGCAGGGCCAAATCTGGGGAACTCACAGTCTGGTGGTTTGACCTCTGAAGTGCTCTAATTCCTAGGCTGCATTTCTCCCGCATGGGAGACTGACTCAGCTGCAGTGCTGGCGCAGTGCGGAGAGTGGCCGGGCCACTGTGGCTGCAGCAGTGGCTAGTGGCTGGGTGCCTGGCTGCTCTCACCACTCCTGGAATTGGGACAGCTGGGCTAGGCGGCTCCTTTCCCTTGGTACCAAGAAAGGCAGCATCTCCCTGCAATGCTGCATGCCATTATTCCGATAGGAACAAGATTGTGTTCAGGGGTCCCTCCTGGACCCTGGCCTGCAAGCACTACCCACCCAGCCTGAGCCACGTTCCTGTTTTCCCTTTTGTGCCTTTTAGCCCATCTCCTCTACATGTCTGTTCAGTTTAAAAAAAGGATTTATTGAGCCCTGGCCGGTTTGGCTCAATGGATGGAGCGTCGGCCTGTGGACTGAGGGGTCCCAGTTCGATTCCGATGGGGGTCATATGTCCGGGTTGTGGGCTCGATCCCCAGTGGGAGCTGTGCAGGAGGCAGCCGATCCCTGATTCTCTCTCATCATTGATGTTTCTACCTCCCTCTCCCTTCATCTATGAAATCAATAAAAAAAATATTTTTAAAAAAGGATTTACTGAGTGCATACTAGATGTCAGGCTCTGTGCTGCAGATACAGACATGAGTGCAGTCAAAGAAATCTCCACCTTCAAGGAAATCAGTCTAGTCAGGGGGACCCCTGTATAGATAATTACAACCTTGTAGAATGAATGCTGATTATTACACATAAATCTCATGCCCTCTTGGGGCCTTTGTATTTGCTGTTCCTTCTAGAATGTTCTTCTCCAGGTTTTTGGCTGGTTCATTCTCTCACTTCACTCCAGTCACTCCTGGGAGACAGGCCTTCCCTGACTTTCCCATGGAAAATGGAGCCCTCTCAATTCTCTGAGTCCGTTTTACCCCATGTAGTTCTTTTCTATAGCATTTCTAGCCACCTCACATGTTCTATTTAAATTCCAGGGAGGAGGGAAGAGTCAGCCTCCCGTACTAGATTGTAAGCTATAGAACTGGTACCTAACAGGCACTCAATGTATATTTCCCTTTTGTTCATTTGTCGTAAGTGATTGACTGGTTGAACTTTTCTGAGCCTGTCAGAGTCATCGAAATGGAGGATGAGGCCTGACTTTCTACAGTCTGCACTGTGCCCTCAGCCCAGACTAAGAAGATTCTAGCTCCCCACCAGTAACTGCAATGTACCGAGCATTAACTGTGTACCGGGCCCTTCAAACTCATTATTTAATCCTCACAATGCGCTGCAAAGTCAGCATTATTTCTCTTCTTTTACAACTAAGGTGAAACGGGCTCAGGGAGAGAGACATGCTCACAATCACGGATAGCGAGGTGCCCAGGGGGGCTCTCTGGGAAAGGTCTACCCACATTTCGGCCACGTCCCTACCGGCCTTTCCCATGTCTCCACTACATCCCCATCCCAGCCCTGTCCTTCCCACTGGACCGCTGGGCCGGGTCTAGCCCGGCTGCTCCTCCGGCGCCAGTGCGGGGAGGCGTGCAGGATGGAAAGGGGGCCCATCTCCGTCCAGGGCCAGAGCTTTCCCTCCCGTGTCCTCCCCACGGACCGGCTGCTGGATGCCCAATGGTCCATTCCAAGGCCTGCAGCGCTGGAGAGAGGATGGCGGGAGGCGGGGAAGGAGAGCCTCTTTCAAAGGACCCGCGGGACAGGGGCGCACAGTCCCTCCCCGCCGCCGCCGCTCCCTCCTGGTACCCAACGCTGTCCAACCTGACCCGTCCGACAGCAGCACGCATGCGCGAGCGCCCCTCGCCCCGCCCCCCCGCCCCCCCGCCGCCGCCCTCGCAGCCTGGCAACCGCGGCGACAACGGCGCGCGCGCGGGTGGGGCGCGGACGGGCGGGGCCGGGAGGCAGCGCTGCGGGCGGAGGCTGAGGCTGAGGCGGTGGCGCGGCCCAGGACAGCGGCCCCGGCTAGCGGTCCGGCGTGTCCGACCTCCCTTCGCCTCCTCACGCGGCTCTCCGACGCGGTCTCGGGCCCAGCGGGCATAGCCCTGGCCATGGACTCCCAGAAAGTGAGCGAGGAGGGGGCAGCGGTCCGCCGGGGCCGGGCGGAGGGTGGCGG